ACCACCAGTGTGGCCAGGTTTTCAGCTGCTCCTCGGACTACAATCCCAGGAGGCCTGGATATATTTTAGGATTGCAGTTCTGGCCCAGGAATAGGCCCTGGAAGCAGCTACTAGGTAGCGCAGAGACAAAGGACTTATAAAAAAACAGAAGACATGATAAATAGAGGCAACTTGGGTGTGCCACAGAGCTTCCCTGTGCTCCTCAGTATTCTCATTTATAAAGTCAGAGGAGTTAATCACAATTTTGTAAGGAGAATTAGATTTGTAAAGAGATAATGATCATGAAACACATTTTTTAAGCTGCAGAGCACTTAAATGATAGCATTATGCATATGTTATATTATCTACATGTATATACTTATACATGAATAGTATTGTTTTATATTCCCAGGGCCTAGATCAGAACTTAGAATGTAAGACAATCCTGATTGTTGTAAATGACTTTAGTCTGGAACAAGGCTGACTCTAAAGGGGCTGTTGAGCCATGGTTAATTTTATGGCCCTTCTAGTTCCCTTCCATGGTCTATGCTGATCTGGTAGATGGCTGTAGCTTAAGATTAGTCCTGTACCAGACCATGCTCTCTTTGGAAACAAACCTAGAGGCTTTGGAATCATTCTGGCCTTGAAGGTGAGGAGGAGCTGTTTAGTTTAAGTACCTACATAATCTGGGACAGCTGCCAAAAATATGTACTGTACAGCTCTCTCAAAACCCCTCTAAGGTATTTTTCTTGATTACTAACCCTTTTTTGTTGCTATTATAATGTACTTCACTTTCTAGAGCAGTTTTAAATTCACTGCAAAATCGAGCAGAGAGTACACAGATTTCTCCTATAGCCCCACCACCCCTATTGCCAGCACCCCCTCCAGAGTGGTACACAACATCACAGTGAGGAACTGCACTGACTTCATCACCACACGAAGCCTGTACCTACCTGAGGGCTCCCTCTTGGTGCTGCGGAGCCTCTGGGTCTGGTCGCATGTATCCATCACTATAATGCCACACAGAGTGTTCTCACTACTCTAAAAATGCCCTGTGTGCTGCCTACTCACCCCTCCACCCCTGCTAACCTCTGGATGACTGTCCCCATGGTTTTGCCTTTCCTAGAATGTCATATAGCTGAACCTCCTTCATCTACTAATGCAATGGCACTATGTAATATTACATAATAGTTTGTTACATTTCTACCTGCTAAAATAATTGTTAAAAGTCAACTTCCTTGAAATGATGCTGTGTTCTTCACAGTGAGCAAATCAGATGAAGAGTTAAGAAAAAGGCCTAACGTTAGGCTGTTTGAGTCTCTGAAGAGAAAGGAAATAAGGGAAATTAGAGAGTTTACCGAAAACACAGCTGCCTTTCTCTTGGCTCACAGGTAGAATCAAGCTATACTTGAGTCCGTTTAAGAGCCTGAGAAATGCTATGACTTGTGCTTCATTTTCTGGTGATACAGTCCAGGGTAGATCAGAAATAATCTGCTAAGTGATAATTTGAGTTTGGGGATTAATCAGGGAAGAATTAGACGAACAGCTTGACCACCCTTCTTTTTTCTGAAATGGGCTGAAAGGGTCTGGATTAATATGCCTTATTTGCTTTATTATTTACCCCTCCTTCCGAAGGTCTTTCTGGAATGTTAGTATTATAAGTCAGGGTTTGGTCTGTGTCATTGCCAATGTCTTATCAAAACGTCCCTCTTTCCCACCACCATACCAAAATAACCTCATATCTTAGTTAGCACTTTATTAACAGACACCTGTGGCTTTCTTCCAGGGGCTTTACTAGTTTAACATGAATTTCCTCTTGAATCTGATGCTTCCCATCCTGCCAAAAGAAAACAGCCCAATTTATTAATTATTCCAGATGCTAAACAATGATGAAGTTGCAGACATTTTCTTCTGTACTGTCTTTTGGGTATAAAGCTAAGCAGCATTTAATAGGGAAATAGCATTTTAACTTTCAAGATGTTTTTTCTTATTCTGTTCCAAGTAGTTTCTTAACAAATTATTTTGATAGAATTTGCAATAAATGATTTTCTGAGTAGATATTTTCTTTTATTCTTGAATTACAAATGAAATTCAGGATGTATCTAATTTACTTGCAAATTGGGTTCAAGGTATCAGTTACTTCTTAAGAAAAAAACACACACACACATATATATATATATATAAAATCCCCTCATCCACCCACCCACACCCAGACTTGAGATCTGGAAACTGGTAAAACCAAGCATCTCCATAGCCAGCAGACTGTGAAGTCCTCTAGACACACAGGCAGATGCATCAATGTCTTAACAACTTACACAGCCTATACAACTCAAGGGGGTTTCTACTCTGAAGGACTAATGTGAAGTTCCAAACTGCATTTCTACCAATGCTCTTAAAGCCCTGGCTGGGCGGTTTTTAGGGACAGATTCTTTCTATGCACACACACTGCTCCCTGCCTTGAACTGCTGCCCATCAGCCTCCTGAAGTATAATGCATATTCTTAGACCGCTCAACTATCAAGGAAGGGGGGTCAGTGCATTATTTACCCTCCTGGAAACCCTCCTGCAGGGCAGTTCAAGGTTGAGACACCTAAGGCTTGCTGGAAAAACAGGATAAGAGAGGCCAAGATAAATCTCTGTAAGACCTCATTAGTAGATTTCACTAAACTAAAATTATAAAGCTAGCATGCTACTCATAGAGTGGTTATTTGTGCATTTCAATACTTAGTGGTAATAGTATGATTAGATTAATACTAAATATTAATAGATAATAAACTTTCATTTACCATTATTTTCTGCTATTTAGCAAATTATCAGCTTATTCTCTAGAAGTTTTAAATTTATAAATATGCCCTGCTTTGTTATTTATATATAACATGGACAAAGAAGACAACACTTTCTCTGTTTGTCTTTGGCAGAAAGTGTTTCATACTTTTCTGATTTTATTATTTGAAGAAGCTGGCTCCTGTAATCTGGATCCTAGAGAGGACCTGATCTAATTTTAGCCCCCTTACCACTACAGGAGCTGGTGATCTCTGTCATAAGATCGTTCTGTAGAAAATTCTCTCCTGCTCTTTCAACACTCTGCATTACTTTCCCTATCCCAAGCTTAGTTTCTTCTTTTTCTAACTTTCCCAAGAAGTACCTTGAGTATGCTAAAGCTGAAATCCTCATGGTTTTGAAAAAGGTGTAGAGAAGCAAACCCAGATTTAAGACAATCTGTTAAAGGAAAATTTAGGATTGGGAGGGATTAGTGTACCAGGTCATTAACTAATTGAAAGGGATAAAGAATCACTGGAAATCATGGTTTTAATCCCCTTTTCCAAATGAAATCAAGTTAGAGAGCGTGCCCTAGAGGGAGAGCAGAATCAAGCTTTTGTGTGTTGCTCCAGCTCTAGCCCGCTATCCATACACTAAGGCCAGAGCAATGGAGCACAGATTCCATGAAAGAAAACTGGCCCATCAAGGTAGCCTCTAAAATTAAGAACATGAACAAGAGAACAGCAAATATTACCATTTTGGGTTCTGGCTTCTGGGACCCCTTTCCTGGGATGCTCCTGTTGTTTTGTAACCTTCTTTCTCTTTCCTGTTTTAGTTCTAACTCAAGCTGGTTCCTGTGGTAGGTGGGAGAGGAAAAGGATGAAAGTTTGGGTTTCTGTACTAATAATCTCTACCAATATGCCAAACCTTTTCTCAATGTTCAGTACTTTATTTTAATGCTTGACTAATAAAAAGTTACTATATATGGACAACCAGATTTTGAAGTACTAAAATACAAAAAAACTAGTAACGTTAAAATATAAGCAACATGTTTAATCTTTTTTGGATGACTAAGAATGCAGTTTAGGATCCCCGAGTGCCTGAGGATCACCACTCTGAACATCATTAACTCTTAATGAAGAGTTGTGGTCAACTGAATGACAGTAGGTCTTGCTATAACTGAAAGTCAGTAGTTATAATTTTCAGCAAGATACAGTATGAAAGCACCAACATTATAGGCCCATTTCATTTTAATTAGCTGGTCTCTTTTTACAGCTATATATTCAATCCCCAGTTGCCCCCTCAACCCCTAGTATCCTTAGTAGCTATGTACTTTTACATCCAACAAAGTTCTGTTTGTTTCAAGTCAATGGCTTAAGCACAAACTCGATTCTCATTTGAGAGGTAATACAGAAGAGTAGTCAAAGCCACGGAGCCAGAAAGAGACAAGATTTTAAATTATAATATTGCTACTTATTAGCTTAACTGGGTGAATTTGGACACATTTAACCCTCTAAGTTTTAATTTCACCTGAAAGTGGGGGGAGTAAGACCACCTACCAATAGGGTTGATGGGGAGATGTCAGAGAGAATACAATGTGCAGTGCTTAGTAAAGTATCTGGTGCACACAGAAGTCAGGAAATATTAATTAATCATTAGTGTTTTGTTGGCTATTAATTCTCTTTCCCCTTGCTATTTGTCTCAGAACTTGGGTTCTAATTTCCCAATTCTTGCATTGCAAAGGACGTTGACGAGATTTGGGGAATGACAACAGACGTGAAGCTTTCTGAATTCTAATTCCAGAGACAGGACAGTGCAAAGGCACAACATAGATGGCTGGCTCGGACGACCCCCTTTGTTTGCTGCCTTGCCCTAGTTACCCATGACCACCCTATCAGCTCAGGCTGCTCTCTCTTCACCGCTGCCTGGTGAGCTCCTCCGCTTCTAGCTGCAGACTGTTGATCTTGTCTCCAAAGTCCTGCTTGAAGAGCCGGTTGTCCAACTCCGCAGACTGGCGGCCTCGCTCAGCCTGGTACAATCTGGATGTGAGCCACATGAACTTGTGATAAAACACAAAAGCCATGGTGGGGAGGAAGACCAAGTTCACAACACAAAATAAAACCCAAGGCAGAAGGCATGGGGTGACAGAGAGGGAAAAAAAACTTTTCAGGACACAGGAAAGAAATTACAGGAGGAAAAAGATGGAGAGGAAACAAATTCTAAAGAAAGGCAAGATGAAGGTGAACCAGGCAGAGGAAACACTGATTTTCCATTTTTTTTATTCTAGTACTACAGTTTACAGCCATTAGATGATAAACAATAAAACGTCACTTTTTAGAAAATCCATATCCAAAGCCAACCTCAAGCACACAGTAATTAAAGTTAAATCCACTTTTTTGTTTGTTTTTATTTCCTAATAGGTTTGGTACTTTATCTTTCTGTTTTACACACATAACTGGAACTTGCAAACGGGCAACTACCTTCTTACATATGGAATCATAACATTTTCCTGGTCCTTTCCCTTAACCATTGATTATATTAAATCACTGGACATTATACAATCAACCCTTACCCAGGCTTCAATTACATAAGGAAAAGCTTTTGTTTGTCAGAGTTTGACCCCCTTTTCCTTGTTCACTCCTATAGTGGTGTGTGACTATGTGGACAAATAACTCAGCATTGGGCCTCCTGCATAAGATCCCTGACTATATTCTCTGGAAGATTCTGATTAATATTTTCTTCTTTAGTTCTTTCAACTTTGCACCTATGAAGAAGCAACTTTTAAAAGGTGAAACATCTAGGGCTCTATACAGAATTTGGAAGCATGCCACATGTAGTCTTCAAAATATTTTATCTTAGTATATGAGCATTCCTTCCAAATACTCTTAGAAAAGGCAACTCACACCATAAAGGTTGACAAAGCTAAGAACGGGTGCAAAACTATAAGAACTAAAATAAGTTCAAGAGCACAGGATTTTCCATGAGGTTAATCATATGCTCTTTTGACTTAGGCTCAAGTCTTCAAGGACCTATAAAAAGCACATATGAAATCTATCTTACTCCCTTAATTCTGTTTTTTCCAAGAATAAGGTTAAGAATTTCAATAGCTGGAAGCAAAGGGGTTATCTCTGTCCCCACCTAACCAGCTGAGATGCTGCAAATCATACCAGAATGAGAAGAAAAATAACAAAAATTTTGCCAAAATTTTTGAATGAATAAAGGCTTATATAAAGCCTGACCCCCAAATCAAGAGTTATTTTTTTTAAAAATCAAAGTATTTATAGGATTATTTACAACATAAAGCCTAGAAAGGGTTAGATCTGTGGTCACTTAGAAAAAGAAGCCCTACTAATTATTGTTTGTGAGTATCTAACTGGGAATCTTTATTCTTAGACTAAATAATAATAAAGAATATGTTTATCATTTCTTCCCTACTATGAAACAGTTTTCTAATAGACTGTTAGTTTTCCAGAAACTTAAGCAAATCCCCATATGAATAAAAAGTAACAGAAACTTAAGTAAATGTTTCAATGTCAAGCAATAAGAGGCAGGCAACTGTAACTCGTGTCTACACCTTGTCCACTTTACTTGGAAAGGAAAAGCAGGATAGGTTTGGAAAAATGTGTAGTGTATTTTTTTTTAAAGGAGAGGAGTGTTTTTATTAAAATTGTTCTCTCAGAGCTACCAAAATAGGAAGTAGAATTGCAGGAAAATGGCAGAGGTAGAAGATGACAAATATTAGGAGGGTTTTCCCAAGCTTCCACATTATTATGTTATCCTAAGTTACCTAATCACTAACTTTATCTCTATGTACTTTAAAGAAACATAAGGATGCTGTTTGTTTCTCCCCCGCTAAAGTCACTAAGGCAAAAAAGTCGCAAGCAATCTGGTTACTGAGAATAGAACTGTAGTGAGATATGAAGTACTGATCCTTGGCTTGGGGATTAAAACTACATAAAAGAAGTGAAAAGGGGCCATGGCCTAAGAGACAGAACTACTTGAGAAAAGCCCAAGTCCATATGGTTGTCACCTCTAGTTCATTACATCGCAACGGCAGAACAGGCTCGCTGTACAGACAATGAACCTAGAATCCGATACTGTCAGGGACTGGGTTGTAACATATGTATAGAACTTCAATTCCCTAGGCTTTTAAAAATAATAGTGTGTTTATTTATTGGTCAACTCAGAAGTAATTTCTCAAGTTTGTTTGGCATGTAATTAAGCACTTAAAACTAAATTTCCCAACTCCCGGGGGGGGAAAATAAACAAGAAAATAATACCACAGCCTACATATTAAACTGTCTTTCTTAAATGTCCAACAAATTCAAAGTCAATTTTTGGTGACTTGTATATAGAATCAGAGCTTAAATGTAATAACTTTCAGATTTCTTCCTTTTACATTTAAGTTGTGATATCAGACTTTCGAGGTGGCTGACTGCAATGTATCTAAAGATGTTTGGGGATCAGTTTATTTGCTGCACTATTTAAGGTCTTTGCCTGTTTCACCAAGTCCTTTTCACTAAATAAATAAAATAAAAATATAAATGGAGTGAAAGGGGAATGAGAAAATGGATAAACAGGAAAGACAAAAATAGCAAGAGAAAAAGTCAGCTTAATACTCAGAGATAAGTCATTATTTTACTTCTGTCTGCTTTAAATGCCAGATCATAAACTATTGAAAAATAATTTGATATATTTGACAAGTATAATTTCGGAACACTAAAATTGGTTTGTTAAATCATGAACATGTAATTGTTTATGAGCAAGCACTTAACTTCCTAGATAGATTGATACCTTTTTATTTAAAATCAGCCAAACCAAAGGCTTCAAACTATTAATTTGCAATTAACTTGAGTTAATATTAATAAGCAATGCCATTCAGGGCTCTTTCTGGTCATAAAGAAGTCATCCATTCATCATAATAAAGTCAGAATAAAGCAGCCATTCATTCACCCATTCATTCATGACTCTAGTAAATGAATGTCTTGTTTGTTCAAGGCACTTTGACAGACCCAATGAGGGAACCTAACAGATTAGTTAACTCAACTCAAGGAATGCACACCCTCACCAGAAGATACATTCTAAAGGGCCATAAAGTAGAGCAGAAAGTGGGAAGTACTATCTGTAGTATGGATAGGCTTTGGGAATTGCAACAAGCATGAATGGGAAGATTATTTTTAGTTGGGAAGAAGTATCAGAGGAAGCTTTGGGGAGGTGGCATTTGAGCCTGAATGTAAAAAAATATATCCAAAGAACAAGAAGAAGGACATTTCTAATTGGTGGAACTATTAGGCAAGGAATGGATGGGAAAAATGGGAAGTATATTCAGGGACCAATAATAGTTTTGCTCAAGTGCAAGAAAGGTGGTCAGTGAGTGTTAAGGGTGGCAACATCGAATGACCGTGGGTGTAGTGGCTCATTCACTTTTGAAGTCTCAGCCATTCCTCTTGGTAGCTGAGTTGCCAGGAAGAAAATGGTGGTTTTAAACAAAGAGGAACAAGAGAGCAGAGTAGGGAGAGGACATACTTGGCAGACTGAACTGTGGGTACTGGTGGGAAATAGCTGGTCAGAGGACAGAAACACAAGAATGGTCTCCAGATGAGAACTGAGCGGGAGATAGACTGAGCTAAGGGCTGTGGGCAGGAGATGACAGTAGATGCTACAGAACTGTTCAGGAGAAAGCAGAAAGGGGAGATGGGAGGGAGGAGAGAAAGGGGCTAAAGTTATTAGGAAGGGTCTCAGCACCTCTATGTCACCCAGCACCAAAGGTCTCAAGGACTTGAGAGATGAACAGCAACAAAACAGAGTCACAAACATACTTAAAGTCCTTTCACCCTTGTAAATAGCCCTCTTCTAATCCATGACACTGAAATGGGGTTAAGTAAGAGGGTTAGAGTTTCTGCTACTCAAAACTGTCATGGAAAGCCAGCATTTCCTAAAAATGTTTTCAGTGACATATTAGAAAACACAAAATGTGAGGTTTTCTTTCTAGCAGCATGCCAGATGTTAGGTTGGGAGAATTTCACATACTTTCTGTTTACCAAGTGCAAAGCAGGGGCTCTTTTTTCTTCACTTTGACACTGGAAGCCCAAAGTGTTTTACTACAGGAACCGCACTTACCTTTGTTCCAGTTGTTTGATGGTAGCAGCCATCTGATTAGTCTTCTCTTCCAAGCGACTGTTTAGTTCACTTTTCTGTTTTACTCCTAAGTCTGAACTCTGTTGTGGAAAAGAATTATGAGTGATGTATACATAACCTAAAATCCTGAAATAAACCATACATGCCTTTGAGCCTAATGGTAAGTGGGAAATAGAGAAATAGAAATGCTCATATGTTTGTGTATCCCAAGTGCAGAAAATGTTAATTCCCAAGTGCAGAAAAACCAAAAAGCCACATTTAAAATTAGTATTGTTATATACAGTTTATCACAAAAATCAACATCAGAGGGTCCATTGATTTATCTTACTCCAGAATAAAAGCTAATGAGATGCATAACTAAGTTGGCAGGTTAGGCTAGAGAGAAGAAATTATCTTAAAGGATGGAAAAGATTCCTTCCCCATTACATTCTGAGAAGTGGCCATGGCTTTCCAGGATAGCAATACAGGATCCTATATGGTCTGACTCCTAAAGTGGTTTAACGGTGGCTAGCCTCAAAATGAGATATGACTCTTCCCTCCTGTAGTTCAAATGTAATTCTACAGAAGATGAGGGAAAGACAGAAGCCCCAGGATTTTAGAAAGCCAGTGAGCCTTTTCCTCATACGGGCCCTACCTGCAGCTTAAAGGCAAGCTCATGCTTGAGAGCCCTGAGATCATCCAGCTGCTGCCGCAGAGACACCAGGGCATCCTGCTTCTCGCAGACATCCTTCTCCAGCATCTTCACGGCCAGTTCCATCTCCTGTCTCATGCTGATCTGGAGCTCCAGTTCTTTTTCAACATCCTGCCCCAAATGGAAACAAATTGCTCTTTCTCTTTCCTCAGCTAAGTACAGACCATAGAATTCCAGAGGAAAAAGCAGACCAAAACTCTCAGGTCTGAACATTTTGGCAAAAGAGGTTTAAGCTATTGCTCAATGCTAAGACACTAATAAGAATAATAATTACGATAGTTACAGTAACAACCACTTCATAATTTATAAATTGGATTACCTTAGTAGGCCAAAGACAGTGCTATTTAATACACCTAAAATACACACATCCTTGAGGGACTTCATTAGATATTAAGACAATTGATGTCATGTCCTATTATTGAATATACAGAAAATGTTACAGTAGCTGGCACAAAATGAACAATTACAATTCTCTTCAATTAGGATATTGTTGACATATTCAAGAGCTCAAGGAAACCAAAAGACAAGGATCCCCAGGGTGACATCTCAGTCACTGGGAATGATCAGCATGGCTAACTGAACTTCTATATCCACTTAACAGGAAATCCCTTTCTGTTTCAACCATGATGGCTCCAACATTATTTGAATGACCAAAGGTACAAAGACTAGGGCTTCTTCAGCATCCATGCGTGCAAAGGGCACATCTAGGACCTCGCTTGCTTGCTTGGTTTCTTTTCTTTTTACAAATATTTATCTTATGGTGATACAAGGATGTGGAAAATTTTGTGTAAGATTTTTATCATGTCCTTCTTAACTGCGGCACTCCTCTATACAGTTAGCATGACAGAAAATGAATCAAACTGCTTCTTAAAATGCATGTATTATTTCTAAGACCTTCCTTGTGGAAGGTATTTTGAGATCTGGCTCACAAAAACACAGAGGGAAATGATAAGGAATTTCAGAGTTCAGAACCTGAAATCTTGTTCTATACACTGTGATAATTTTTACTACAAATCAGGTCACTCCTTTTTATTAGGATTCTCCCTATTCTTATAGAAACTACTGAGTGAGGATCCTTTTGTTTGTGATACTATCTAAATTGCAGCAAGATTTAGTATACTAATACTTGGATAAGATCTATTATAGGATTATTATTCCTTATTAAACAATTTGCATATATATATTTTACTTTCTAAAAATATCAAGACTAATACTGATGACACATTTTTCTGTTTATGTATATGAACAAGAATAAATTCAGAAATAGCAGCTCAAATAAAAAGTATACTTTTATATTAATGATTCTTAGTGAGAAGAGGAACTACCCCGTCTAAGGAAATATATCAGAATCTTTGCAAGGTGAAGACTGGGGTAGGAAGAAGGGACTGCATAGTTTAAAAGAGTCAGTTCCATACAACTAATGTTTTTGTAACACAACCTAGAAAAGTAAGAAAATAAACATTGGCCAAATTCTGTTGGCTGTTGAGAAAACTCAGAAAATGGACTAAGGAAGCATTATAGGGAATACAGGTTAAAGAGAGTGAGAAACAGTTTTACGGGATCCATAAAAACTCATTATAACACTACAGATATTCCTGATCCTGGTCTGTGAGATGACAGAACCTCTCAGAGGGCTGTCATGTTTTCATGTGCTCCGGGGCTATCAGAATATTAGTGAAGTTTACCAGTCGTAATTGTGTCTCCTCCTTTAAATGCTTTCTTGCTTCACTCAGTGCTTGCCCTTCTGAAGTTCTGTCTTGCTTAGGACCCTTGAAAAGGTGAAAATAGTACATATTTCAGGATTTAAGAATTTATACAGAGTTAGCTGATGCTACTAGCACTGCTGTATAGGATGGAGAAATGATCATATTTCATACTTAAGCAGATTTAACAATGAATGAAGACAACCAAGAAATTGAAGAAGTTTGGTAAATAAAATGACTCTTAAGGAGAACTAGGGATTTCTTGCCATTTTGTTTAAAGTCCTAAGATAGGTTTCCAAGTCAAGTGGTAGGGGTCTTATAAATCAGTCTCTAAAAACAAAAATATTATTTACTACAAAATATGAATTGGGCCAAAGGTTCAAATGGTAATACATTCCTTCTCCAGAGATCTCACATCTGGTGTCTACAATCATCCAGAGAGTTCACAGCTAAAAATAAGTAGGTGACCAGAAATTTCTTCTGAGCAGTTACAGGTGTTTTTTTCACAAAGTTCATGCATTAAAGTCAAACATGTTACTCACAGAAAGTTACTTCAGTCCCCACTCAGAACCTACTTATTTACTCTTTAGGGGCTATTTTAATAACTGGGTATTTGGATACCTAGGCCACAGGTTAGATGCATGAAGATATAAGGGAATGGGAGATCTTTCTGAGAGTAATACTAATAGCAGCAACAAGAGAAGCCACTGGAATCATAAAAGCAGAGAAAAAACACCCACAGCAATCTGGGAATGTTTAACTGTAGGGGCTAGGCACTCTATCAGTTTCAACAGCCCCATGAAGCAGCACTATTATAATTTAGAACAGAAGGCCTATGTTGATAATTATGATCTCCAGTCATTACAAAGGGCTAAATGCATTATGTCCTCTACTTAAGAAGGCTTAGAGTTGTGCAATAGATAAAAAGATTGCAAAAAATCTCTTTAGACACATATATAAAGTTTTGTATTTTAAGGGATTATCTAGAAAATTCATTTGTATAGTAACCCCTAGGGTATCAGATAAACATTTCTTAAAAAAACACCAACATGGTCTAAACACAAAGTATATTTAATATAATAATATAGCACTTCAATAAGTTATAATTTATTGGTACATAAAAACAAGAAAGTGAATTGGACCATTTCTTAAAGGCTTTAAACAGATGTAGGAGGTGGTAAAGCCAAGGAGCATCTGTAGGAGAAGGCACATCACACCCCCACCCATAACTTTCATCCTTCACTCAACATTGCATGGAGTCTCAGCTTGACACATGCAAATGCTTGCTGCTTCTAAACAGTCCTCTAGAGTACAGGATCCCCAACTGCTATGGGAATTTTAGGAATATTTTATAAATTCAGTAAGATTTACCTTCCGATTGGATTCCAATATATAGGAGCTTTCCTCTTTCACTCGTTCCATTTCTTCTTGCAAGGTAATAATCCTGTTGTTTGCAACTGCAAGCTATTGATAAAATTTCAAAAATCTTTTATCTTTCTTTATTAACACAGGATAAGATAATTCATGATCTGCTAGAACACAATTTTCAGGTTTGGATTTTCTTAAAAGGAAAGAAAGCTATCTACACCCCATAAAAATGTTCTTACAGGGAACATGGGAGAAATAAAGTTCAAACTAGGTTAAATAAAAACAAAAAAATCTCCTATTGGTTCTTTTTGTGTAAAAAATTTTCAGCACCAAAATGTTAAGTTAAAATTGTTTACCTCAAGGGTGACATTGATTGTTTACCTCATGGATAACTTTGAGTTATATTTAGTTACAATACCTACTTCTAAAATATTTAAAAAATAGGTCACCGCATGCCTTGGGACCCATTTTACAAGCCCTCCATACGACCTTTAATAGATGATTTTTACAACAGCAAAGAAATGAACTCCAAAGTTTTCACTTGAAAATATGCCATTAAGCATTGAAAAGATTTTCCATTTCTGCGCCTAAAAAGGTAAGGTGATGTTATTAGCAGTATATTGCTTAGGGGAAATGTTTATGTCTTCATCCCACAAGAGGGAAAAATAAAGTGGAAACACTTATTCCTTCTCTGTACTTACGGAACCCACAGAGAACATGAAGGTGCTGGAATGGGCCGGCTCCTCTCAGCCAGGCTGGCTTCCCTTTACCCCTTCACTAAGAGCAGGCACAGATTCTATGAGGTTCCTGTTCTAACGTGTAAGCACAGAGGGCCTAGGGCTCAGGCATGCTTTCTAGAGGCAGGTCTGGAAGCCCATTTCTCTTTCTGCTCCATGGGCTCAATAATGTGTAAATAGTAACACCGGACAAGTGGGTCTGCCCTGTAGATTCAAGCTGCCCTCAGACAGGTTCTCCCAAGACTTCAAGTATATTAGGAAACTTTGGCTGCAGACCCAAGTGGGCCTTCTAATTTTGCTTTACCCATAATGAAGTGGATATATGTGTATCTTCATCTGCTTCATTCGTCTCACTTTGTCATACTGGTTCAGAACTCAGGAGGGGAAAAGAAGTCTATTGTTTTTCTGGCCCTCTTAAATCCAAAATATATGGAAATGAGGAAAGACAGAGCCAATCATTAGCCTTATCTGCACTTGAGAAAGCCTATGCAAAGTCCTTACCTATCTCCAAAAACTCAAAGTTTCAAGAAAATAAATGTTATTGGTAAAATAAGTAAATAAATTATGAAAACACTAAAATTGTTCATAAAATAAATGTAGGTCAGGAGTATAAGTCCTGATGGAAGGAATAAAATCAACAACTGTATTTATTGAGTATTTACAATATGTCAGGTACTGGGTCAAGGTCTTATGTATGAAATCATTTAATTCACACAAAAACATACTATTATTTTTATCATCTCCATTTTACAGTAAGTAAATAAAGGAACAAAGCCTTAAATTATTGGCATAGGATGAGAAGCTAGCGATCACTAGAGCTGGGACACGGACCCAAGAAGTCTAGGTTCTGAGCACGTGATGAATGGCTAAGCCAGACTGCTCAGTATAGTAGCAGAAGAGTCACAGCAGAAAACTTTCATGAAGAATATTTCAAAAGCCTTGTAGAATAAAATTCTAAGAGTCATTTCCAAAAATTGAACTTTTAATATAATTAAGGTATAAATAAAGCATAAATAAGAGACTCTACATGCAAAAATGAAGCTCCCAGAGCTGAGTATTAAGGAAGCTATTTTAACAGAAGTGAAAATGTTTGTTCTGAAGAAACACTGGTTAAAACAGCATCTTCCTGATGAATGCTTAACTTGGTTTTATTTAAGCCCAATTTATCCTACTGTATGTAGCAGGATAGCTAGCTATAATTAAAAACAGAGAAGATAAAGTCTTTGCTGCCTGGAAAGTTTTAAGATTCCTTATAGAAACATCTAATGCTATTGAAGAAAAAAATACATAGCTTAGCATTTGCCAAGTTAGGAAAAAATTATCTTTATTGATCAGAAATAAAACACGAGGTTAACTTTTATTCTTAATTTAGGGACTTTTCTAAGAGTTTTCACACATACATTCTTTTCTGACCTTCAGAGTCACTAAGGCTGAAAGGGGAAGTATAAACCCCCTCATCTGCCAGGAAGGGAACTGGGCCTCTTGGAGGTCAAGTGATTTACTTGCTCAGGAGCACATGACATGTAAACAGGGATTAATTGTCTTCTGACCAGTGCTCTTTATGTTATCTACCCCACCACCCCAAGGAGAAAATAAGGCCTGTGAGGGTGTGGCGCTTGTGAACCTGGCACACAATAGTCAATGCCTGGTCCATAGAAACCTCTGTCTAGTTCTAGCAGATATAGTACCCATGATGTTTGTTGAATGAATAAGTGATGAATACCATCCTATATGCTAAACATTAACTCTAGGCTAGCCCAGACAAAACATTCACACAAAAGAAGGCAAGACATTCGATTAGCCCAGGTATATGTAGTCCAACTGGATAACTGAGACCCCTGAGATAAGCCAGCCAGCCATTCTCCGTGAGTACAGCAGTATGTCCCACTGAAAACTATCTGAAAAGTCCAGTGCTTTATTTCCAAAGTTCTATAGCAAATATTGGTTCCTCTAATGCACATTATTAAACTCTATGTGAATCCCAAAGTTTCCAAAATGCTTACCTCTTCTGTCAGTTTAGTGTTGGATTTTTCTAATGCATCCACTTTTGCCTGAAGGTTGTTTACAGTAGCACTATCAAGAGAAGAAAAAACATTATGATTTCTTATGAACAATAAACAGTATCATGTAATTTCCATTTAAACACCCATCTAATCATTCATTGTCTAATGTCCACAATTCTTGACAGGCTTACAGGCTCTCAGGACAGCTTACAAGGGGCTATGTGTCTTAACTATTATGTCCTTGGCACTGAAGTTTGTAATTAATAAGCACCTGTTCAATGAAATGTAAGAGCTTTGCACTACACAGTAAATTTTAAGGCTTGTTTATAATAAGTTACATGAATTAAGTGCTTGCCATATACCCAATACTCTTCTCAATTCTTTTACTTGCATTATTTCACTTACTCCTTTCAACAAGGAGTATCCCTAATTATAGATAAGGAAACTGAGGAATGAAAAGAGTATATAATAGTATCATGTTTATATTTCGTTGTCAACTGTAACCATACCTTTGTTGACTTGTATCTCCACAGTTCATTGTAGTCATTATTAGTTCTTGGTCCCCAGAGAAAATGTACTTAAATTGTTCTTGAATTTTCTAGCTAGAACTAAGACTACTCCAAGTTTATATTAATACTGGTATAATCAGATTATAGGTCTTACTTAAAACTATTTTTAAAGAGAACTATAACCAAGGTAACAAATAGTGGATACATTAATTCTTTTGAATTATTCACCAGCCTTCAGCATAATAACAGCAGCAACATACTTGATAACACCAATAGAATTTGGATAGTTCTCCTCAGGTAAGAGGAGACTGTTTCATGTTCTAAACAGTTCTGAAAAATACTTAGTGAGCACTCGGTACATTAATGGTAGTGACAGTAAAGGGATGGTAAATCAATACCATCAATTCAAAATATAAATGAAAAATGCAAGGGACCAACAAGATATAAGTAACGTACAGGTACTAGGGCAATGAGTGGTTTACCTAAAATTAGGCTTGAAATATGCGGTGGGATCTACTGAACTAAGAGGGTTGCCAATTTTGACTATATGTGTCACATATTTAAGAATTCTTAACTGAATGTATTTATTTAATCACTAGAGTTATAATTACATACTACTCTTATAGTGCCTTTCATTAAAGATAACCCAAACAGTTAAATGCCATTCATTCAATGGCAAGCAGGAATTCTACGTGTATTTGTTGAGTATTGTTTGAATTTATCCCCACTGCCCATCCTCTTCCCTTTCCCCTGCAACAAATCCAAGTAAAGTAATGAAGTTTATTCATTGTTTACTTCAGATGTCTGTTGAGTTCTTCAACATAGTTCTTCTGGTCCAGAATTGCAGTAATCTGGCCATCTCTGCAGGGGTAAAAACACAGAAAATAGAAAATAAACAACATTTTATAAGATCTCCTGCCCACTCAAATCTTTTCATAAAGCACAGGAAGGAAACTGTGGCATGGATACGCTGAATCAGAAAAGAGACCTGATGTATAATACCCTGAACACATCAACAAAAATGACTCATAGGTTTAAAAATGAAAACAAAAAAAATCAAAATAATTCATAAAGCTCTTGTTATAGCTTACACACCTTAATAATTCAGGTTATAAATTAGACATTACAATCTATCAGAGACATTTAAGGAATAAATATTTTCTTCTCAAAAGAGAGTTTTTTTTTAGTTTCACCAGTATTTTTCATAATAACAATTTTCCATTTGTCATAGGAATTGAATTAAGCTTTTCTGGTATAATAATAGTTGTTCTCAAAGGTTATTTGTCTTTAAATGTTATTTATGTTTCAAAGTGAATGGCATAAAAAGCTCATAAAGATCAAGTGTTTATTTTCTAAGATAATAAAGTATGAAACTGGAGGTTCACATCTAGAACCAATTAATGTGTAAGAGGCAAAAGTTAGACAGCCAGACTTTTCAACTCAAAGACAAAAAAAAGGCCACATACCTCTACTTAAATAACAACTGATATAATCTTAGCTCAGTATCCAAGGTTAAAAGCTTCAGACTGATGTTTTCAACTGCTACATTTACAAAGGGGAAAGGTACACTTCTGATGTCTAATTTTTAAGCACCACATGTTATTTTAGAACCTTTTTATTTTGAAATCATTTTAGATTTATAAGAGTTGTAAAATAGCGCAGTTCTCATATGCTCTTCACTCAATTCCTCCAGTGTTAGCAATTTATATACCCTCACAATGCAAATTTAATATTTCAAATGTTAAGCATATGGAGAATGAAATCCTGGTCAAGAGGACAATTTTTTAAACACTACTTTCAGAGATGGAGCACTGGATTCCTTTTATAAAATTAATCTTTTTTTCTGCCCCTGAACCACACAGCCAGAAAATCACTTCACTAAAACCCCTTTTATGGGTTAGCAGGCACAATAGATATTTTTGGCACCACTCATTTACAGCTATAGCATCAGAAATTCTTTCAGTAAGTCAAAACACTATTGTTGAATATTTAAAATACTATCGTAGAATACTAAAGAAAAAAGAAACAATTTTCTTCATACATACCCTTCACTACCTTTACTGCTGTTCCCATCCTTGAGATACATTGAAAAATCTATAACTCCAACCTACAGAGAGAATTTTCAGAATTTAATATAAAATTAGATACTTTTTCCAAGGCATAACATAATGTCTCTTCCTAAGAACTCAAAACAGTAACAGAGTCATAACATTTAGTAGAAATTTGTGATTAAAATTTAGTGTTTCAAATCAAGAATTTGACAAGGGTTGTAAGTATTGTATTTTAAGTATTCTGTTGACTTTCTTAGTCATGATCTGGTCATGTCCTCTTGACTTAATCTTGATTCTTTACTTACAACCCTTGTCAAATTCTTGATTATGATAAAAGTGAAACACTAAATTTTAATCACAAATTTCTACTAAATGTCATGACTCGTTAACTTAAAATACAGCTGGATAAACTAAAGGAATACAAAACACTTAAAATCCCAACCACCCACTGTAATATTTTGGTATCTAATCTTCCAAACTTTCACTGATGCAGCTGCTTTATTTATTGGGCAATTAATATGTTCCAGGCCCTGTTCTAGGTGTACTTCATGTACTAACTCTTTTAGTCCTCACAATAACCCTATGAAGTAGTATAGATACTCATTTAATTAATTCCCATTTACAGATAAGGAATGTGAAGCATTGAGACACTAACTACAAAATATATTCAGTTAGAAAATGAAGAAGCCAAAATCTGAACCTAAACAGTTTGGCTTCAGAGTCTTCACTCCTAACTACCATGCTATACTGGCTTTTAATATTTAACTTGTACATATCTTTTAGATTACATGTGTATATGTGTGTGTGTGTGTGTGTGTGTGTATGTACACACACTTAAGTCTGTGCAAAATATTTTAAACAGATAACACAGTTGAGACAAGAATTTGAAAAACATTCATAATACAGATTAAGCCAAGCTAGAAGGAAAAACAAATTCTTAATATTCACGTCAAAATTAAAGGAAATCTTTTTTATGACTCACAGAATTTCCCCTAATTTGGTGTAATATGATCAATCCACATTCTGAGATAATAGACCTCAAAGAGATCTACTTGGTAACTGGGTAGCTTTCTCATACCTGAGAGTCCAAATCTTCTCCTTTCATACAGAAATTGGCATCAATGACATTCAGACCCACCAACAATCCAGCAATTATAGCTCCTTCTTCTTCCATCATGAGGGCATTGGGTTCATAGAATTCACTGTAAGAGAAACCCACAGAATGTTCTATTGTAATAACGCATCAAGAATAAAAATGTATCATGAGACAAGGAGAAAAACACTTGCCTCAAGTTTGAATGGTCATTTATGATAATAGTGAAAAAGTGAGAAAAAAAAGGCTTAGATAGTTTATTTTAGATAACAGGTGAATGAACAACTCTAGGTAAAAGACAATTCGGCTAGAAGTGATCAGAATGGTATTTACACTGAAGTGAGTATTCATGTTTTTTCCACATTTGTATTTGTGATGCACCATGGGATAATTTTTAAATCTTTCATGCATCTTAAAAAAAGTATTTTGTTTGTTTTTAGAATTTTGTCTTTTTTCTGATCTGCATTACTGCAATTCATTTTAGGTACCACATTCCTTCAATGTAGTAAATAAATTTTTAAAAATTATGTGATCTGTTAAATTACATATATTCATTTTTGACTAATTAGCAAAAGTTGCCTAACAAGGCATAATAGGTTGAGAATGATCTGAAATGTTTAAGGAATCATTATGTTTTCTTGTTTAATAAAGTCAGTTTTCATTACAGGAAAAAAAATAGAAGCAAGCAAAAAGAAGCATACAAGATACCTTTAATTCTACCACCAATGACTTTGATAAGTAAACTTTCAGTTCACATATGGAGACATATCCTTCTTTGGGGGATACTAAAAAGGTGTTGAATCATTAAAGTTATCTTGAATTTCTTTTTTGGCTTAACAATATTATAAATATCTTTCTATTACAATAGATACTTTTCTGTAGTTTCATTTATACCGCTTTTATAACATTGTACTGTATGGATACCAAACCTTTTTTTTTTCCTTAGTCAACCCTTCTCTAATGAATGGTTAGGCTGTTTTTATCTTTTTACTATAACAAATTCCACAGGCCAGGGATAACTGGCTGAAAATGTCTTAGAAATAAAAAAGCAAATGAGAAAAAAAAAGTACTTGGATAATTCTGAATGGATAAATATTCTAGTAGACTCACAGATGATTACATACTGCTTCCTGATGCACCCAAATTATCAATACACAAAATCTCAGTGAGTTGAAATGTTCATTTTCAACCAATCCGGCATTCTATCTGAAACATGACTGTCATCTGTTTTCAACAAAGTCATTTGGGAATGTTCATGGTCCACCTCAATCACTGGTAATAATCAGTATAATTCACTGACATTAGTTTTTCCTTTCATTTTTGATTTTTATAAAAAATATTAATAAATACTAAAACAGTTCAAAAACAGTACATGAATGATCTGCAAATTTACGGTTTCTCTCAATAAAGCTCATTTGCTATTTTTTTTCTTTGGTAGCCTGTGAAGCTAAGTAGAATTAGAATGAACAAGGAAGGTTCGTTACAAGTTCATGCTCTCAAAAGCCATAGAGTACACACTTTTCTGTGTCTGGCTTCCTTCATGCAATATTTTACCTGAGAAATTCATATTTTAGTGTATGCAATGGTAGTTCATTCACTTTCATTGCTGGACAGTATTCCATGGTAAGAACATACCACAACGTATCCATTCCATTTACTGTTTTGTCATTGCTACAGGGTTTCTCTGGACACTACTGCACATTACTTTTGGTATATACACATACGTGTTTCTGTTAGATACCTAGGCTTGAAATTGCTGGGTCAAAGTGAGTGGCTACGCATGAAGAAGTGATCTGTCCAGTTCACAAGACTGAACCCATTTATTCTAGTGCTCTGTTGGATAAAGAGCTAATTCTTCAGACCCCAATTTCAATCACACAATTTTGATCCAAGGCACTTCCCTGCAGCCACCTACAGCTTGAACACTGGATCCTACACCACTTCAAGGCCTGACCCTTGGAAAGTTAAGCTCTCCCTTTGTAGAAATTAATAAATTCCCCAGCATGGCTCCTAATTCTCTTTCTCCTAATTTAATTTTCTTGAGCAAGAAAACTGAAATTAATGGCATATATAGCTGTAGCAACATTAAAACAATGCTCCATATTAGGGTCTGCAATGCAATTTCTTGTAAAAACTGCATTCCTGAAAAACCCAGACACGCCTTTAAATTCTCTGTTATTTGTTCATATTTCTTAGAGGCAATCTGTTACATTTGAATTTCTTTTGGCAAACATTAATGACCTATAGAGTCACCAGAAAAGTACACAAATCATACAGTACAGCTAGGTACATTTTCATAAAGAGAACACATTCATGTAACCAGAACCCAGATTAGGAAACAGTATTATTACTGGAACCTCAAAAGCCTCGTGCCCCTTTCTACTCCCTATTTACTACCCCTCCCAGCCAATGGGAGCCTCTTTCCTGACTTTCATCATGAAGATTAGTTTTGGATGTTTCTGAACTTACAATACACAATGAACAATACACAATGTATTTTTCATGTGTGGTTTCTTTTGACCAACATTACGTTTGTGAGATTAATCCATGTTGCTGCACGGAGTTGCTGTATGGTATTTCATTGTATGAATTATACCACAATTGACTTATCTATTCTACTGTGAACAGACACTTGTGAGCTATTACAAACATTGCAGTATCTCCGAACATTCTTGTTCATGTCTTTTGTTGAATTTAACTGTGCATTTTTATTGGATATAATGACTAGAAAGGGAATCACCGAATTGTACAATATGCTTGTGACTGACTTTCACAGACAAGGACAGTTTTCCTAAGTTTCTGTTACCAATTAACTCTCCCATCAGCAGAAAGTGAAGTTACTTCACATCCTTAACAACACAGATATTAGCCATCTTCTTCCTTGCAGCCATTTGGTGGGTGTGCAGCATCATCACATTGTTGTTTTAATTTGCTTTTTATATGATGGCTAATGAAGTTAGGTATCTTTTTATCTGTTTACCAGGCATTCAATTGTCTTTCTTATGGAATGCCTGTTTATGTTCTTTACCCATAGTATATTTGCTTGTCTGCCTTTTTCTTACTGGACTGAAGGAGCGCTTGATAAACCCTGAATATGCATCATTTGTTGAATATATACATATTATGTCTTACAGTTACCTCCTTTCACTCTATGGGTTCCCTTTTAATCTTAATGGTATCTTTTGATGAACAAAGGTCATTTTAATGTAAACCAATTTGCCCATTTTTTTTTTATAGGTACAGCTTTCTGTGTCCTGTTTAAGAAATTTTTACCTACCTTCTGTATTCTTCTAAAAGTTTTATTGTATCTTTTGCTCCCATTTGTATCCATGATTCATCTAGAACTTTTTTGTGTGTGCTGTCTGAATCAACTGCTACACGTCAGCTTCCTATCTTACAAGACTGGGTACACACTAAGTAAGGTGTCAAAAGCCTTTCTTGTTTTCTGAAGGTGTTAAGTTTGGCCTGTCCTGCAAAAAGGACCATATATAAGCCATAGTGACAGACTGAAGTCATGTAATATAAAAGAACCTATTCTTGAGTATGTGTATGTGAGCAATGGGACAAGGTACTGATATACATGAAATTGTCATAAATTAATAATTTCTGATCTTCAAAAATGAAAAACTTACATGATTTGACCTCTATATGATGTAGAACACGGCAAGAAAAGAACAAAATTCAACAAGAAGATATTCGTACCTGAGAAGTTCTTTCTTGTTGATCAAAGCTTTCATATATTCTGAAAGTTTCTTTTGCATCAATGCCAGACGCAGCCAGGCTCTTCCTCTGCCTACTGGTGTCCTACAAAAACACAGGAACCAAACAACTACAAGTAGCAGACACAGGGACCACAGTGGGGAAGATTCACTTATTCTTGCTATGGTCCCCCACAACCTCTCCCACCACATTCCTATGCAAGGAAGTCAGTGAGGGCTAGTGGGAACTGGGGGTGTGTTTGGAACAAATAGTCTTGAGAAGAATTAATTATTGAATGAGATTACAATTTGAAGACAAGACCTCTGGGAAGCCCAACTGGAAATTTTCCATCAGATTAGTTTTTGCTAAATCCTCACAAATTTGGTGTGTATCATTTACATACCCACATACTAATAACTAATAATGCAAACACAGGCCATTGAGGCCTCTATCTGATTCAAATTAAACTGATCTAACTTGGGAAGGTGATCACTCTTCTTTCTTAAGTTCTAAGGCAGGTTCTAGGTGTCAGTTCCTGATGTTTAATTGACAACTGTTTTAATCTTGGCTGTTAAACTCCTTCAAACACATTCTTTTCCTTAATTCAAGTTCATAATGATACCTCTCTAGATCTAACTTCTTGAGACTCACAGATTCCCACAAATGCTTTAAAAAAATAAGGAAATGTTTGGTATTTTAATATGAAGACAAACACTGTTAGATTAATAATAATCATCCCTCACAAGCACTTCCCTTAATATTCGATATTACCAATTCTCTTGTAACAGTGACTACTCATAAAAGCATTATGCATTTTGGATTGCTGTGAAATAAATGATTATGGTTATCACCATCACTCTTCAAGGAGATAGTTAATAAGAATGTCTTTCTTGACAAACAGAATTCAACCTTAAACTTACTTAAGTCCTGGAAGATCTTTGACACTTGCTGTTATCTCTGCAGCTTCTGGAACAAGCTTTTCTACCAGTTCAAGGGGCCCCCAGAAGGATTTATTTTGTCCAAGAAAAGTCTTCTTTGCTAAGGCAATAAAGACAAAGCAACATTTTAATATTCTTTACTGCATAAACATGCCCTCAACACACACACACACACACACACACACACACACACCCTCTCTCTCTCACATTTAGTCATTGCTCTTTTCAGGAAACTAGTCCTAGATTATCAGACAGTTCTAAAATTATTCATGCTTTCAGCATAGATAACACCTTGCAAAAATAAAAAATCCCCCACTACCCCAGGCTCAGTCCTTCCTCTTTCAGGAATAATTTATAGACTAGTGCCATAATAAAACATCTCAACAATATAATACTTAAAGTATTAGTGAAGAAAAGATTCCAGTGAAAAAAAATGTAGTCCAGAAACAGACTATCAAATATTGAGCAGGTAGGAGGAAAGGAAGCAAAGGTGAACAAGACCAGGGGCTGCCCTCAAAAGCTTAAATGGGAAGAGCACAGAAGCAAGAGTGGGGAGATCTGCATTCTAGGACTTGCTCTGCGCCCACTCACTGTGTGACCTGGGGCAAGTCATATCCCATGCGAGGTCTATTCCCACCTGTCAAAAAGAACAGATGTATTGGACTAGATATTTGTAATGGCGCTTCCAATTCTAGAATTTAATGATCTGTTTCTTCAGCCCTATGTGTCCTGTAAGTCAACCATATCCCTGTGCCCAGCATAGGCAGCATTCCAATAGATGAGTATTATTAACTCAAGCTTTGTACTCTTTGGCTCCACAGAGAATGCTGCTCTTCCTGAGCAGGTACTGCTAGGAAACAGCCACATGCACACTTGCACTTGGAGCCATGGCCTACCTTTCAAGCCATGTTTTAGGCAGTGCTCCATCACCACGAAGAACTGCTGGAGTGGTGCATAGTCAGAGTCCAGAGTCCTCCCCAAGTTCAGAGCTGATTCAATCAGGCCCTTGATACTCAGCTTGGCCATGTTCATCAGGTTCATGCGTTCATTAGCCATGAGATAATTAGGGTCTGCAGCCAAAGTGGGAGAGGATAAAGCCTGGTTACTGGAAATAGGGTGTTTACAAATTCAGTATAATTACACTGTTGACAACTGCACTGATGGTATAAAACAATGATGGGTGAGATTGCTGGTGTTGTGGCAAGAATCAAGACAGTGGAACCAAATGATACTATTAGTTTTTGTATTCTCCGCCAGGGCCTGGTCTTACCCACCCCCTCATTCTCTACACAGCTTGTGAAGTGCTCTAAAAAATAACGTCCAAAGTAGAATAAAAGGATAAAGTACTTTAAAAGACATTTTGTTCCAAATATACTACTTGCATGTTTGTATTTATACTAATTAGCATTATTATTTAAACTAAGCAACATTAAGGAAACTAGAAATAATTAACATTAGTATAATGCATTACCAGAACTTACTCAACTCCCAAATTTTTAAGACTTAGTATAGCATGTGGATCTCATCAACCAGAGACATAAACTTATAAGGAAAGGGACTAAGTACCACCTTTTACCTGACACAGCTTAGAACAATCTAGGTACTCACTACCTTCTTTTATTGGTGCATACCCTGCATCAGGTACTGTGGGCTGCTTCTTACATTATGATTTCCATCCCTCCTTACAACACACTATGAGACAGTTACCAATAGCATCAACTTACAAAGAAGAAAAATGAGGCTTAGAGAGTAAAGGAGCTGGCCTCTGAGCACAGCTCATTAATGGACAATAAAGCCAGAGTCTAGACCATGGTTCTCTGACTCTAAACCCTGTGCTCTTGACCAGTGCAATCTGCTTACAAATATATTTACCACTCCAAATATTTATCCTTCCCTCTTGTATTCTTTTACAAGATTATATATTTTAATTCTTGTGACTTTCATTTCAGTATTGCCCTTTCTTTTTGGGTGGTAAAGCAGGCCCATAAGAGTACAGATCCAAGGCCAAGTTTTATATATGGCAGAATTTGGACTTAGATCTGCTAGCTAATGCTTTTTCCACTTTAACATGTGCATACTTCCAAATATCAGATATGTCAAATTTCTATAAAAAGGCCTAGAGACCCATGAAATATTGTACCTCTTAGAAAGACCAAAAGTACTAATAAAATCCATGCTCTCATAATACAAACAAACTTATCATACAAACCAGAGATTATACCCAAATTATCCCAAGTAATATTCTTCTCACAATGTTTTCATTTCTATCTGTTTTTACAGTTAAATGAGCAAGGTCAAATGGCCAAATTCTAAGCTAATCTTCATCTTGGTTTGTTATTGTGTTCTCTAAGGTAATATTTTTGGAGAAATACTTTATTATGAAAGTCAGAATTGGTATGTATAGCCATTAATTTTTTCTTTAACACCAACGAATGTTTTACGACCATGCCTCAAGTGTGGCTTTTTTTTGTTCAGAGTAGCTCAACTTCTTAAGATTAGAATAAGCTACAAGGGGAAACTGAAATATACCAAAACTATCCCTAAAAAACAGCCATGAAGAACACCTTTATAAGATATTAATTTCCAGCTCTTATTACCAGCATTTGTGCACACTTCTGTTTCTGACTTCCATTAACTGGGAGAAAGGACCAGGACATGGATGTGTGGGTATGCAGCGATGTTTTGGACAGCTACTAGATTCTTCATTTACCTCCCAACAGATGGCAAGAAAATGTGGCTGGAGATGGAAACTGGCAGCTCCAAAGTGCCATTCTCTCCGCCTCAAGCCTGTAAGCCTGTAGACCCTTATTCAGGGAGCTAATAACAAAATTAAACAATGCTGCTAGTCAAAGTATACAACTTGATTTCCCATCTACCAAGAACTCATCAGGTGAGAAGAGCTGAATTTGGAGTATGGACAAAACATCATGCTTTGACATTGTTTGCAACAGCTAAGACATGGAAGCCACCTAAGTGTCCATTGATAGATGAATGGATAAATAAGATGTGCTACATATATATACACAGTGGAATATTACTCAGCCATGAAAAGAACATCTTGCCATTTGCTAATGCTAAGTGAAATAAGACAAAGACAAATATCTCAATTCACTTATATGTAATCTAAAACACAAAAACAGCAACAGACTCATAAACACAGAGAACAGACTGGTGGCTGCCACAGGGCAGGAGGGGTCTAGGGGTGGGAGAAGTAAGTGAAGGGGATTAGGAGGAAAGAACTTCCAATTATAAAATAAATTAGTCATGGGGATGAAGGTACAGCATAAGGAATATAGTCAATAGTGTTGTAATTTCTTTATATGTTGACAGATGGTAACTACACTTATTGTGATGAGCATATAATTTTTGAATCACTATGTTGTATACCTGAAACCAATATAATATTGGATATCAACTATATTTCAATAAAAAAAGCCCCACCATGCTTTGAGACACTTTCCCAGAAATGGTGATGGGTTTACACTGGCTCTTCTACACTGCCTCATCTCATTCTTCTTATAATCGGTAGCAGACATGTTCAAGACATCTGGTTGGGATCTGGGGTGCATACACTACACAGAAAGATGAACTAGTGTCTTGGGAAGTTAAATTCCTAACACCTCGGACTCCACTAGTATGGTAACCTGCATCAAACACAAACAAGCTGCCTGTTTCTTTTATAAAATAGTACTCTCAAATCTGGAGCTACTGATATTTTGGGCCATAAAATTCTTTTTCCTTGGGGCTGTTATATGAGTTAAGTTTAGCAGCAACCCAGGTCTTAACCCACTAGATGTAACACCCTCCAGTTATAACAACCAAAAACACCTCCAGATAATGCCGAATGTTCCCTGGGAGACAAAATCAGGCTCTCCCCATTGACAATTACTACTTTAAAAAATGAACGTTAAACAAAAATCATGGTAATTTGACAATTAGATAATAGCTCAAAAGAACTTACTGCTCATTATTAACTGTTTAATTCATGTAAGTCAAAATGATTATGTTTTAGTGATTATTATTATCCACACTTTGTGTTGACTAGTATACAGGAGTATGGTTACTACAATAACTTTAATTATCTTATCTAATTAGTACTAAGTTAAAACTACTGAACATAATTAGTACTTAAAATGATTTCTTTTTCCATTTTGCAATGCTGGCTTCTAATAATGAATAATCATTAATCTCTCATAGAATAAGAAATTCTCTATTCAATCAATTTGTTACTTGTCTTGAATTATACTAAAGTATAAAAAAATTCTGTGGAAGTCATAAGCACACAGGAACTTTTGAGAATTAAATTGTTTTTTGACATAGATGATAGGTGAAATTCTTAAGTGTGTGAAAATTGAGTTGAATACTTACAATATGTTATCTTTTCTGATATTTTATACTTTTAACTATTTTATACTCTGAACTAAAAGAATTTTGTTATATTGTATAGTCCAGAAAATCATTAAAAAAAATACATGACTTTTGCAATGTTGTTAGTCATACTTTTTTAATGAGGAAAATAAAAATTTAAATTTTCACCACGCTAACTTTAACACTATTATTCCAAAACCAAACTTTCTGTTCATTCACTTATTTATTTTTTTCAATAAATATTGAACATCTACTGGGTGTTAGATACCATAGTTAATGCTGGGTATCCAGAGATAAAAGGCCTAGCCCCTGACATCAAAGTGCTTATTATTTATCAAACTTGGGTAATACAGATGTCCGGGGGAAAAAGCAGGGCAGCATATGAACGCTTGAAATTTCAGAATAATCACTATTATCTTTAACAAAGATCAATCTTATTCCATAAAGATCAATCTTATTCCAGTACAAATAAATTGTTTTTATATTAAACCAAATAATCCATTCTATGGAATAGAATGCAGATTTTATGTATTTTCTAAGGCTAAGACAATACATATGATATTAATGTAAGGTTTCAGACAGGCTATAAGTCCAATATAATCTCCTCTTCCATTGGATGTACTGTGGAAAAGTTTGAGAAGCACTATAAGCATAGTGCAATAAGAACACTAACAGAATCACACATAGGATAGTATCAGAATATGCATAGAAGATACCTAACAAGGCCCCTTCATTTCCTTTAAATGGAAAGGGCAGATATGTGTATGTAAGTGCTCATTTTTTAACTTATGTTTATTCACTCTATACCATTTTAAGGAGATTAAGAAATATAAATTAACATAGCTATTACTTAACATTGTATTGAGGGTGGCAGACCAATGCAATTAGAGAAGACAAAGAAATTGGAGACATACAAACTTTAGAAAAGTGGCTTATATATTACTGCTCTCACACAATCAGATTTTACAGCCAGAAAATCAAAATAAACTACAATTTGTATAAAAATTTAAATTCAGAAAGGTAGCAGAGTACAAGATTAATACATAGATATTACCAGGTGCCATATATTTTGATAACAGAGGATGAGAGTTGAATTCAATCTTAAAGGACAAAAAGAAATCAGGCAAGGAAGGGGGTAGGGGTAGAGCTGTGAAAGGAGTGGGATGGCAGGAACAGCTTGGGTAAAGGCACAGAGGCACGAAAGAACATGGCAAACTATGAAAAATAAAACTGAAAAATGCCAGAAGTTTATGAGGCATAGGAATAAGCACTGTGAGGCAAGATAAGGGAAATCGGTGAGGGAGAGATCGCTAAGGATCCTTTTTAAGGAGTATAGATTTTACTTTAACCTTGGTAAAGATTTTAATATGAGGCATGATGTCACAGAAATGAATTTTAGAGAAGCCATTGCAGTAGCCTTGTGGAAGATGGTTTGCAAGGGTTTAAGAACTCAAAGCTGAGCTGGAAGTAAGGGTCTACTGCAATAGCTGAGGAGAGAAATAAGGAATGGGACTATAGCAGTACGTGCTGTGTGGAGAGGAGGGATTCACTCCAAGAGACATTCTACGGGCAGTGTCAGGACTTCAAGACTTGATCACCACTTGGCTGTGAGGCGAGAGGGAGAAAGAATGGAGAAGAGCTTCCACATTTCTAGTTTTGGTGATTAGATGCTTGGTGATGCAAATGTGGGAAGCAGCGGGAG